GCAAAAGTCCTTGGATTTCAGAATCATATATATATGTGTGTGTGTGTGTGTGTGTGTGTGTGTGTGTGTTTTCAACTTGTTTGGTATTTTCGATGATGAAATACACGGTGGAGTTGGAATTCTCAAGCTTCACAGCATCTTATGGAATATTGATGTTGTATGGAGGCTGCTACTTAAGATAAACAAATCTGTATTGCATATATACTGTAATTCCCCTTTCGCCTCTTATGAGTGCTTCAGAGTTATTTAATCAGACAGAATGATACGCAGCTATTTTCTCCCCTTCCTGTTTTAATGTGAAAATATTATATTCTGTCATTTTTTTCCCCCCAGTGTTTCCCTTGGAACAGATTGCTAAGAATAATAAGCTAATATTGGAACTGTAAACAGTGATGGATTGCTTCAAGTCCGTAATGTGCTTCAGTTTTAGGGGAAAAAACAAGTCATTAGCCAAACAGAAATTACCCAATCATTTTCATGCTTTCTGTTTCGTTCAAAGTTACTTGAATATCTTCTCATCCTTTTACATGGGTCTGTTTATACAGGTAGTTCTCGACGTACGACAGCTCATTTAGTGACCAGTCAAAGTTACAATGGCACTGAAAAAAAGGGACTTACAATCATTTTTCACTCTGACCATTGCAGCATCCCTATAGTCACGTGATCCAAATTCAGAAGCTTGGCAACTGGTATGTATTTATGACGGTTGCAGAGTCCCGGGGTCACGTGATTCCCTTTTGCGTCCTTCTGACAAGCCAATAGGGAAGCCAGATTCGCATAACAAGGGGGTTAACTAACTTAAGAACTGCAGTGATTCACTTACATGACTGCGGCAACGCTCAGGTAACAAATGTCTGACTTTGCAACAGAAATTTGGGGCTCAATTGTGGTCGTAGGTCGAGGACCGCCTATAATTAAATAATAGGACTTTCATTTGTCCATGGTAAACCCTTTCCTAAAACTTCTCCGGTAGCCCAAATGCAAGGGTGAAATCCAGCAGGTTCTGACAGGTTCTGGAGAACCGGTAGCGGAAATTTTAAGTAGGGTTTTTTTTTTAATTTGATTTATATGCCGCCCTTCTCCAGAGACTCAAGGCGGCTTACAATGCGTTAAGCAATAGCCTTCATACTTTTGTATATTTATACAAAGTCAGCTTATCACCCACACAAACTGGGTCCTCATTTCACCTACCTTAGAAAGGATGGAAGGCTGAGTCAACCTTGAGCCTTGGAGAGATTCGAACCAGCAGTAAATTGCAGGCAGCTGTGTTAATAACAGGGTGCTTAGACCACTGTACTATCAAGTAGTTCGGAAAACTGGCAAATACCACCTCTGGCTGGCCCCCAAGTGGGGTGGGAATGGAGATTTTGCAGTATCCTTCCCCTGGAGTGGGGAGGGAATGGAGATTTTGCAGTATCCTTCCCCTGCCACACCCACCAAGTCACACCACGCCCACCAACCCACGCCCACAGAACCGGTAGTAAAAAATAATTGGATTTCACCACTGTCCAAATGTTGGAATTTGGTTTCAGGATCGTGTTTGAAAATCTAAAGAGAATATGGGATAGAAATATGCACAGCTGAAAATAGAGCACAAGTATTGCTTCTGTGTCAGAAAAACACAAAATGACAATTATTTTGCCCATCATTTGAAATCACAGCTCCGCTGGGATTGATAGCAGAACATGTTATACAAGAGCAAGGGGGGAAAAATTAGCCTTCATTTTTATTCTCTCTGTATGAGTAAACCTCTAGGGAGTTTGGTATAAAAGCATTAGGGGGAAAATGTAAAGCCAAAAGAATAATTTATGAGAGAGAAGCAGCAATTTCTTTGATTTTGTTCCTCCTATTTTTAACTTCTTCCCATCATCAACGCATAGTTAATCGGCTCATGAGTCAACATTCGACATAAAGCTTTACATCCTGTTGGTCAGTGGATAGGTAGATTTGAGACGAGGATCTTGATTTATTTACAGTAAATCAGCAAAGAATTGCTTAATGCTAGGAAGAAAAAAAATCCGTTTAGGTCATTGTATCGTTGGGTTTCTTTAAAAAAATTAAAATAAAACAGCATTGGGATAATCAGGGATATGAATTTTTATGGAAGAATTGGAATGGCTGTCCACGATAGGACTTAATATTCATTACAGTAAATATATATATATACGGTATTTCTCTTTCAGAAGTTAAAATTCTCTGGCATTTTCATTACATATTTTTCCCCTTCACCATATGCCATTGCTGAAACTGCAGGAGTTACTCGAGGGAAAGGAATTTTCCATGTATAATCTTAAATTATAAAGATACAGAGTCATAAATTATTTGTTAGAAAAGGCTGAGGTCAGTGTTTGCTTTAAAAAAAATTATAACTCCATGATTTCAACAGGACTAAATTGCAAGAATATGTATGTATGTATGTAGGTATGTAGGTATGTATGTATGTGGTAGACATTAATATAAAATATTTTATAATTTACCTTCTCAGAAAGCTAGCATTTCGACCAAGCCCCGTTTCCTTTTTCTATTTGGGCTGGCTTAAGAAGAAATTTTTAAATGTTTTTAAATGTTTTAAATGTTTTAATTGGTAGTGAGTTTTAATTGGGCCAAATTTATATATCTTTTAATTGTTTCTTTATATTTGTCCTGTATGTTTTTTAATTCTGGCTGTACACCGCCCTGAGTCCTCAGGGAGAAGGGCGGTATAGAAATTTAATAATAAATAAATAAATAAATTTTCTATTTCTAGAACTGTCTTTCGCCTCTGCAGAATTTCACCGGATTTTAGGTTTCCCGTGTTCATTCTGCTCCATTCTTCCACTTCTATGCAATTTAATTTTTCTTAAGCATCCAAGGTCAAGAAACCTCTGCAGATAAATCTTGTACAGTCCTTCTAAGCTAAATATTTTTTTTTCCCCTGAGAAGGTCAATTGAGCTTGGTCTTTCCCATTCCAGGGTCCTAGAGTTACTTTTCAGAATTCTTGGTCAGCATGACCTCTGGGAGTTGAGACTCCATATATCTGTAGAAGAGAATGTTTGTAGATCAGGACTGAACTGTGGAGTCTTTGGTGCTCTCTTGAGTTTGGTGGGTTTTCTTGCAGATGTTTCACTACCCAACTAGATAACATTGTCAGCAAACCCCACGTCCTACTGGCACTGATGATGTTACCTACTTGGTTAATAAAACGTCTGCAAGAAAACCCACCAAACTCAAGAGAGCACCAGAGACTCCACAATCATCATCATTGTCCTCCTCCTCAGGGGTGGGTTTCACTTAACTTTATTGCCAGTTCGTAACGGGAGTGTGCGCGCATGCACAGATCATCAGTGATGACATCGGGGGGGTGGGCGGAGCCTCCCGCCGCCATTACTACCGGTTCGCAAGAACCGGACTGAACCAGGAGTAACCCTCCACTGCTCCTCTTCCTCTTCCTCCTCCTCCTTCTCCTCCTCCTTCTCCTCCTCCTTGTCAGGTTTCGATGCTATCTCAAAATAAATGAATTTCCAAACTGCCGATCTTTGAGGAAATTTTCTCTTTATTGAGCATAGTGATCTGTCCCTGGCTCCTTCACGGTCAGTACTGACCTTTGCCCCCCAATCCCTCCCTTTCTGATCCCCAATTCTCTGCGTCTCATTGGCTATCTTCCAAGCCACTTTCCTCATCCCTTTTCCATCAGATCACAGGAATGTCTCCCTCCTCCCATCTCCAAGGAGACAGAATCTTCAAAGGAATTAAGTAGGCAAAAGTTCAAGCTTCTCCTCTCCTTATATATGTCAGTGCTGGGATGCTGACATTCCTCTCCATAAATCCCACTCCCTTCTAGCATTGATGAGGTTACCCAGCTGGGTAATAAACTGTCTGCAAGAAAACAGTCAACCTCAGAGAGCACCAAGGACCCCATAGTTGTCGTCCTGCTGCTTCCTCCTCCTCCTCCTTTCCACTCCTCACATCCCATTCCCTTCTAGCAGTGATGGTGTTACCTAGTTTGGTAATAAACTGTCTGCAAGAAAACCCACCAAGCTCACCACACCTGATATAAGTGGAAGATAATTAAATTGGAATTGGTTCTCTAGCATCTTCCATCAATTGAGACTTCCCATTCTTAATCATAATGGGTAAAAAAAAAAATCTGGGAGTTGGGTTCTCCAAATGTGGGCTTTAGGTGCACCTCACTTCTTCTACCAACTTCTACCTCTTCCCCCCCCCCCTTTTTAAAATTAATATAAATAGAAAGAGCAACATGCTCAAAAATCCATATAGACAGTCTGCTTACAATTCTTTTGAGTAATATTCATCATAGTAATAATAATAGTGTTCTCTAATAATAATATTACATCTAATAATATCTAATATACTATGATATCTGATAATAATAGTAATATCATAATAACAGCGTTTTTCCCTCATAATATTAATGCATATTAATTGTTAACACTAATCAGAATTAATCAAAATTAATAAGTTACAGTAATCAACCCTTATAATAAAATTAATCTTTCTCTTGTAGTTTTTTTTTTTTTTTAAGGGAGGCGGTGGCTCAGGGGCTAAGACGCTGAGCTTGTCGTTCGAAAGGTCGGCAGTTCAGCGGTTCGAATCCCTAGCGCCGCGTAACGGGGTGAGCTCCCGTTACTTGTCCCAGCTTCTGCCAACCTAGTAGTTCGAAAGCAGGTAAAAAATGCAAGTAGAAAAATAGGGGCCACTTTTGGTGGGAAGGTAACAGCTTTCCGTGTACCTTTGGCGTTTAGTCTTGCCGGCCACATGACCACGGAGACGTCTTCGGACAGCGCTGGCTCTTCGGCTTTGAAATGGAGATGAGCACCGCCCCCTAGAGTCAGGAACGACTAGCACATATGTGTGAGGGGAACCTTTACATTTATCTTGTAGTTTTAGAAGTTCTAACTCCTGTCGCCAACTTCCATCTCTTATCCAACTGCCGAAACGTAGACTACGCTCCTCCCTTAAGATATGCTGTGTGCCCTGATGATGTTTTCTTTCCAAACAGGGAAAGCCAATAACAATCTCCAGTGGGATGAGGACTCTATAGAATACATGCCAGCTGACCCAGTCAGGATCGCATTTGTCTTGGTCGTCCATGGCAGAGCTTCTCGCCAGCTGATGCGCATGTTCAAGGCTATCTATCATCAGGATCATTTTTATTACATCCATGTTGACAAGGTAGGTAACCTAGCACCGGTTCGCAACGGGATCGTGCAGATCGCCGATGACGACATCCGGGACGGTGGGAGGGGCCTCCTGCCGGTTTTACTACCGGTTCTTACGAACCGGTCCGAACCAGGGGCAACCCACCACTGATGTCGGGACTCCTGGGAAAGGCAGGGTGGGGTGGGCGGGGCCAGCCAGGAGTGGGATTTGGGGGGGGGTCTCCGAACTGCACAGAATCTTAGCTAGAGGTTTTCCCGAACCCCCAGCAGCCCACCCCTGTCTACGCTCCCAAGATATCTAGGGACAGAGAGTGGCTTAAGCTCTGATTCTCTTTCACGACTCAGCTTTTTTTTATTCTGTCTGTCTCATTGTCCCATCTCCAGTTCAGAAAGTTGAGGACCAACTTTGGACCTGCTTTGCAGGAGGGGGAGGGGGGCAACTATAGGTAGTCCTCAACTTATGACCACAACTGAGCCCAAAATTGACGTTATTAAGCAAGACATTTGTTCATACGTCCCTTTTTTCAGCACTGTCGTAGCTTCGAACGGTCTCGAAACGAACTGTTGTAAGTCGAGGACTACCTGAATGATGGTTGCAATAGATTTGTCAGTGTTCAACCAGGGGGGACAGTATGTGTTTTTGTTTTTTGTCCTTTTTAATTCACATTTTTGTAAAATGTTCTGGTCTAGTTTTGTCTCTGTTAACTTTTATTTTTCCTTTTGGGTTTTAATAGCAAGAGCAAGAGCACTTAGACTTATATACTGCTTCACAGAGCATTTACAGCCCTCTCTAAGCGGTTTACAGAATCAGCTTATTTTCCCCCAACAATTTGGGTCCTCATTTTTACCCTCCTCGGAAGGATGGAAGGCTGAGTCCAACCTTGAGCCTGGTGAGATTCGAACTGCCAAATTACAGGCAGCCGGCAGGCAGCAGAAATAGCCTGCAGTACTGCACTCTAACCACTGCGCCACCAGGAAAGAGAATGAGAAAGGGAATAAGAGAGGAAGGAAGGAAGGAAGGAAGGAAGGAAGGAAGGAAGGAAGGAAGGAAGGACGGAAGGAAGGAAGGAAGGAAGGAAGGAAGGAAGGAAGGAAGGAAGGAAAGGAAGGAAGGAAGGGCAACAGCAATAGCACTTAGACTTATATACTGCTTTACAGTGCTTTACAGCCCTCTCTAAGCAGTTTACAGTCAGCCTCTTGCCCCCAACAATTTGGGTCCTCATTTTACCCACCTCGGAAGGAGGGAAGGCTGAGTCCAACCTTGAACCGGGTGAGATTCGAACTGCTAAATTGCAGGCAGCCGGCAGTCAGCAGAAATAGCCTGCAGTACTGCATTCTAACCACTGCGCCACTGAGGCTCTTTCTAATCTTTTGAAATAAAATAAAAATTGAAGCAAGAAAGCTGTGGGCCACCATGATCTAGAAGCTGCCCCACCCCCACCAAGGCTACATGCGCATAGATGTCACTGCCTCTCACTCAACGTGTTTTTTTTGTCCCCTTCCAGCGTTCCAACTATTTACACCGGCAAGTGCTCCAGTTCGCAAGCCAGTATCCGAATGTGAGAGTCACCTCCTGGCGCATGGCTACCATCTGGGGCGGAGCCAGTCTTCTGTCCACCTACCTCCAGAGCATGCAGGATCTCTTGGAGATGAAGGACTGGCCGTGGGATTTCTTCATTAACCTCAGCGCTGCCGACTATCCTATCAGGTAACAAGACCCATTGCAAACAATACAGGTGCTTTTTTATTTTTTTTCAGGAGGCAACTGGACTTTCTGGGTTTTTTTTCTTTCGAGGACGTTTCGCTTCTCATCCAAGAAGCTTCTTCAGCTCTGACAGGATGGTGGGGAATGGAAGGGTTGATATTCCTTGCAGACAGCTGGTTAGTTAGTTAGTTAGTTAGTTAGTTAGTTAGTTAGTTAGTTAGTTATTTATTTTATTCGATTTCTATACCGCCCTACTCCCGAAGGACTCAGGGCAGTGCACAGTCAAGCAATAAAACACATCCATACAAAATTTAAAAGTAGAATTAAAATCAAATTAAATAATTTTGGCTCCGACAAATTTAAAACCCCGAACTATTTAAAACCAATTTTAAAATTTGAATGTATAAAATACTAAAAGATATTTAAAAATTAAAAATCTTTTATGAAAGAGGGGGAAAATTAGGCCAGGCCCGCCTGGTGAAATAATAAGGTCTTTAGAGCGCGGCGGAAGGTGCACAGATCTGGGATCCTCCGTATCTCCGGGGGGAGCTTGTTCCAGATAGTAGGTGCCCCCACAGAGAAGGCTCTCCCCCTGGGGGCCGCCAGTCGGCATTGTTTGGCCGACGGCACCCGGAGGAGCCCCTCTCTATGAGAGCGTACCGGCCAGTGGGAGGTTCTTGGTGGTAGTAGGCGGTCCCGCAAGTACCCAGGTCCTAAGCCATGGAGCGCTTTAAAGGTGGTAACCAAAACCTTGAAGCGCACCCGGAAGACCACCGGGAGCCAGTGCAGCTCGCGCAGGAGAGGTGTTACATGGGAGCGCCATGTCGCTCCCATTACCACCCGCGCGGCCGCACTCTGCGCCAGTTGGAGCCTCCGGGTGCTCCTCAAGGGGAGCCCCATGTAGAGAGCGTTGCAATTTGCATCCTTTTTAGAGGGTCGTTGAAGCACTTGGAGGTTTGTGTGCGTCCTCAGGCTCAACTGAGTTAGTGCTCCTGGTTACTGTAATCTGCAATTTTTTCCTCCGGAAATCCATTCCTAATTCCACACCATTCCAAGAGTGTTCATCCCGAATTGTATAGTTAAAAGTCTGTAGAGATTCTCAGTCATCCAAGTCATGCATGACTTGGATGACTGACAATCTCTACAGACTTTTAGCTATGCAGGATGTCCTTGCTTTACGACCTCCACTGAGCCCCAAATTTCTGTTGTTCAGCAAGGCAAGCCGTTCAGGGAGTTTTGCTCCTTTTTGCCACCATTGTTAAGTGAATCGCTGCAGTTGTTAAATGAATCACATGGTCATTATGTGAATCCGGCTTCCCCCATTGGCCTTGCTTTGTCAGAAGCCAGCCAGGAAGGTTATAAGCGGCGATCGCAGGACCCTAATACACCGCAACTGTCATAAATACAAGCTGGCTGCTAAGCTCTCCAATTTTGATCAGGTGGCTGTGGGGATGCTACAACGGTTTTAAGTGTGAAGCCCGATCACTAAAAAAATGGTTGTAAGTCAAGGATGACCCGTGAAGGGCTGGGGTGTGAGAGGGGGAGGAAATTGGATCTTCAAGCTCAGTGCTCTAACAGGTCCTTTGGAGAACATCCAAAATAAGCAAAGCAACCATTTGGTGCAACACTATGGCAGTGGTGAAATGTAAAATTTGTTACTACCGGTTCTGTGGGCGTGGCTTGGAGGGGGTAATGTGACTGGGTGGGCGTGGCCAATTTTTTTTTTTTAACTTTTAAAAGCCTCTGACGATCCCAGCTAAGCCGCCCAATCATCAGAGGCTTTTTTTTATTATTTTTAAAAGCATTTTTTCAGCCGAAGAGGTTGTAGAAAAAAATGCTTTTAAAAAAAAAAGCCTCTGATGATCGCGCAAATCAGCTGGGCATGGGCGGGGAGGCAGGGATTTTTGCTACCGGTTCTCCGAACCACCCGTCGTCATTGCTACCGGATCGGACGATCTGGTACGAACCGGGAGCATTTCACCCTTGGTGTACACCCTCCTTTCATTGGAGAGAAAGTCTGGCCCAACTTTGCTGTTAGAAATCAATTAAGGCTTGGCTTTTCTGGACTACATTGGAAATAGCTGAATGTTGTACTGTTTGGACAGATGTCGCACCAGCTGATGATTTAGTATTGAATGATCAACGTATAAGGAGGTTGTCTTATCCTTGACTGAGAATGTAAATTTAAACGCAGTTTAACATACCCTGTTTCCTCTAAAATAAGACTCAACCGGAAAATAAGCCCTAGTATGATTTTTCAGGATGCTCATAATATAAGTCCTACCTCCCCTCAAAATAAGTCCCAGTTAAGATCATCAGCCAGATGGATGCATTTAGTACCGTATTTTCCCAAAAGTAAGACCTAACTGGAAAATAAACCCTAATGCGTCTTTTGGAGCAAAAATTAATATAAGACCCAGTCTTATTTTGGAGGAAACATGGTAGTAACTTGAATGAAGAAACGTAAGCCTCTCAAGATGGGTTTTGGTGAGAATGGCATGGAAACCAGGTTCAAACAGTAACAATTAGGGAAGCTCTCAGATTGAGGGAGCCTACTAGGTATCTTAAACTTGGCAGAGACTTACCGTATTTTTCGGACTTTAAGACGCACTGGAGTATAAGACGCAGCAAGATTTCTAAGAGGAAAACAAGGAAAAAAATAGTTTTTGGCCTTTGCACGTCCGTTTTTTGCCCTCCCCAGCCCCCAGGAACACTCTGCAGGCCTCCCAAACCCTCTGCGCATCCTGTTTTTTGCAGAAAACAGGTCCATTTTTGGCAAAAACGGGATGCGTGGGGCAGGGTTTCAGGAGGCCAAAAATGGCTGTATATTTTTTTTTTAAAAAAAGATTTATATGCCGCCCTTCTCCGGAGACTCAGGGCGGCTTACAATGTGCTAAGCAATAGCCTTCATACTTTTGTATATTTTATACAAAGTCAGCTTATTGCCCCCACAAACTGGGTCCTCAATTTACCTACCTTAGAAAGGATGGAAGGCTGAGTCACCTTGAGCCTGGGGAGATTCGAACATGCAATAATTGCAGACAGCTGAATGTTAATAACAGGCTTTTAGTCTGTTGAGCTATCCAGTGTGCGCCAACATTTCCACCCTCTTTTGGGGAGGGGGAAGTGTGTCTTATACTCCAAAAAGTACGGTAAGTCACCTATTTTGCGTCTTATTTGTATCCCTTTCCAACTGGAGCTGCATGCCCTCAGATTGTCCCCACCACTTGGGCTAGGTGAACAAACTGTCTTATTTAATGCGGTGCGTAGAGAACACAATCTAACGATCATCAAGAGCACATTAGCTAGCAGAGACATAAAACAGTTCGTAGACTACCGAGGGGTGGACAGGAAGACCTTGGACATCCTCCATTTGGGCTTAATAGACTCTGATGGCCAGCTTGTGGATGGTATATCTTCGAGGAAAGGTCATGCCCCATAATAGGCAAGTCATGGGTGTTGCTTAGGACCATCATAAGATGCATCTACGTATTAGTTATGCTCCAGAGAACAGGCTGCTCTCTGTTTGGCACAGTAAATCTGCTGGCCGGGAAGACCATTCGTCTTGTTTGTTCCGGAGGAAATTTAACCAGGGCCCAACAGTGTCCTTAAGATGTAGGTCAACGAAGTTGCTTTCATCCTTTCGGCTCCTCGAAACAAGGAGGAGGGGAGACAAGAAGGAAGAGAGGGAGGTGTTCAGCTGATGGCACTGAGAAATGCTTCCTTAGAAGCAGAAAAATGGAGACATCTTCAGGTCCCTGGGACCAGTGCTGGCTGAACTTCAGCATCTCCACCTAACAAGGATGCAAGGAAGCCTTGGAATGAGGCTGTTGTTGGGATAGAGAAACTGGGACACGGGGCAGTTCTCTGATTTCCCTACCGTGTTTCCCCAAAAATAAGACCCTGTCTTATATTTTTTTTGCACCCCGAAATAAGTGCTTGGCCTTATTTTTGGGAGATCTTAATAATTTGGGGCGTGTGGAGCAAGACGAGGCTCCTCTTGCCATCTTACCTGATTTCCAGCTCTGTCACCAGAGGACATGGTGGGGAATGGCTGTGCATGCATTTAAATATTTTCAGGGAGGGCTTATTTTGGGGGGGACCCTTATTTTCAGGGGGGGCTTATTTTAGCGCATGCACTCAAAAGCCTGATTGGGCTTATTATCAGGGGATGTCTTATTTTCGGAGAAACAGGGTAGTAGGCGATCGCTGGTCCTTCACATGCTACTGAGTTACACTCCCCATACCTATAGAACAGGGGTATCAAACTCGATGTCATTGAGGACCGCATCAGGGTTGTGTTTGACCTCAGGGGACCAGGGTGGCCAAAACCCAAAAAGGATTTGAAAGAAGTTTGGGACATCGGCACTATTTAATGATACAAAATATCTTTCGAAGTTAAATTGGAGTTTTCATACGTTCATCTGCCTCAAAATGTTGGCTTGCTCTACCATTGACTTGCTCCGATGGGGATACGGTTGCAAAAAATGGGACTCTCAAGGGCCACAAGCAACCTGGAATTGAGGATGCCCATCCTTTGATAACCTCAGCAATGGTTCCCTAGCAACCTCTCTGGTCTCCTAGCAACAGGTATGCTGAGACATACGGCCTCTTATCCTGAATCTTCTACGGGTTCTGTCAGTAGTGATTGAATGGATTGTGCAAATGAGTCAGTTGATGTCATCAATATTGATGCTGGGCCTTGTTTTTCTTTTTAATTCTAAATAATTGTATCTTGTCGGCATACAAGAAAAACAAAACACAAGGAAAACAAAGCTATCCAACCCAAAATAAAGGGGGTGGGTGGGAATCAAGAATATAATAAAGCCGATTTTTTTATTTATTTCATGGAACTATCACCAGCAACATATAGCTCCTGGTAATTTATTTTCATGAAACACCCATTGAAAACAGCACACTATTAAAAGCAGCACCGTCCGAAGCAAGAATCAAAAACATAGGTAGTCCTCCACTTACGACAGTTCATTTAGTGACCGTTCAAA